GTTCAAGTTCAGGAAAATATCATTGATTATCATATTTGCCACTACTGTTTAGTTTCACACTAAAGAATTGTCAAGCACTGGATAGAGACTTGCATTTGGTACTAATGTCCTTGGAGATCCCCAGGGCTGAGATTCATCTCTGAGCTCTCCTTGACCCTGTTTCTTAGCAGATGGGGACTGAACTTTCCTTAGGTAACTTGATTCCATAAGGGCAGCATTGAGGCTTCCTGCAGAGTGCCCTGAACATTTAATAAAGAGAGAGAAAAACTCCAGGGCTCCCTTCATAGCCAGACAGTTCAAGTACGGCCAGTACATCACTGGTGTGTGGTCTAGAAACAGTCTAGTCTCTGGGCATGAGACTGCTTGATTCTGGGATTATTTCCAGGTCGTCAAGTGAAAGAGCAGTGGATTAGATCATTTTGTTTCCTTTCACTTTCTTATGAAGCATACTAAAATAGACTAGCTCGAAATATCATGAGAATGAGACCATTTGAGAAAAGGACCCAAGAATAAAGCCTGACAGGAGAATGTAAAGGGACAAAGTAGTGGCCACACGGTGGATAGATTCTGGGCCAAAGGATAGAAATAAGAACAGGAACATGTTAGAGGAAAACAGGGCATCCTTGTAGAGATTTTTAAAGTAGTCTATTCAACAATCTGTATCTGTATTTGGGGATGGAAAGCTACATCAAGGAAATAGGCAATGTTACAAACCCAACAGTGGAAAGACAAACAGGGTAATGTCATTAAAGCAGGGTGGAACTAAAAAGGGGATGCTTGAGGACACTGTTACTTAATGCTTAGTGTCTATAACTAACTCCTTCTTCTGGACTGCTTGAATGGAGGCACGTTCCTGTGGGGAACATATGCAATTGTCTATTATGTGTCTTCAAACTTCTTAGCAAGGAAGAAGCAAGAGCAGGAGCAGGAGTTGGAAAAGGTTGAGGAAGATCAGTTTTGAAATACTATTCTGTTATCCAACTGCATATTTGAATTGGCAACCTAAAGATTCTTCCTTGAACTATTTCATCAGATTAAAAAAAAAGGCAACTCCAAATGACATAGATGAAATGGAAATCTATACAAATGTGTAATAGGTACAGCTTGTATAAGACAAGTCAAGGTGACACAATAATTTAATGTGCCATATAGTGTTTGGTTTGTCTAAACATTTATTTCTAAAAATATTCCTGAGGTTAGTGTGATTTATGAACCCCAACAAATGGAGAAATGGACAAGAATGGGGAGTAGTCTGAATGTAACTGGGTCCCATATTCTCAGTAGTTTGAATATAATTGGTCCTCACAATCTCATAAAGAAAAGCATTATTAGGAGGTTTGACTTTGTAGGAGTGGGTATGGCCTGGTTGGAGGAAGAGTGTCACTAAGGGGTGGGTTTGAGGTTTCCTATGCTCAGTATTTTGCCAATTCTTGTTGCCTGAAAGATGTTGGACTCTGGGCTACTCCTCCAGCACTACATCTGCCTGCCCATTGCCATGCTACCTGTCATGATGATGATGAACTATAGGTGAACCACCCCAAATAAATGTTTTCTTTATGAATTGCTGTGGCCATGGTGTCTCTTCACAATAAAAACCCAAACTAAGACATCATGCAACCCATGTGAATGATATAGTTATGAAATTCACTCTGACTAGTTTTTCTCATAATTCATCATCTAAACCATTGCACCACATTCTCTCCAACACTTCAAATCCATGCTCAACAAATTATACTAATCATAGACTCTAAAAGTGTTACTTCCAAAACTAAGTGGCTTCCCTTATAATAAAAGGGCTAAGCAACCAAGACTAATCTCAGATGGCGAGTTAGGCTGTGTGGTGTTGTAGTGAAATGCCTGAGACCCAAAATAATTCAGCATAAGGGAGAAAATTCTGGGAATACCCTCTTCGTAACTCACAGTGGAGGGTAAGGAAGAAAATGACAGAATTAAAGAATACGTCATAGGACTTCTCTGATAAGGGCTGAGAACGGACTCACCTATAGATACAACTCTATGCCATTTGGAATAATTTTCCTTCTATATTTTTTAGGAGAATAATAGTAGTGGGTTTCCTGCTGGTGATTCTTGGTGTGTGGTCTCATTAACAAAGTGTGTATGGGTTCCATAGCATGGAATGGGACTAAATTAATTTTAAAAACTGATTGGCTATTCACTCTAATGATTGTGCCACTGGGGGCTAGGTATATCTTTCAGGCAGGTTACTATTTTAAATAAGAGTTCATAGCTGGGTTTGAGTGTGGCTTACTCTTCTCCTCTGAGAGTCTGTATAACACGTTCTAGCACTATGAACACTAATCAGTAGTGGTGAAACTTCAAGATGGATAACAGCTAGATTTCTCCATGATCTATGTCACCTGCATGTGGTCTTCTCAGCAATAGGGTCTTACCATCAGATTTTGGGGAGTAATGAATATTTTGGAATTAGTCTGCAGTATTTGGGAAGATTAGGGAACCACTTTTACCGAAGACTCAAAAGACATTTGTCAGATGTGATAGAGAAGTTTGCCTTGCTTCTTGGTAGTAAATGTCTACCTAAGAATAGTAGCTATACTTTTACATTTTGTTCCATTAATGACTCTCACACAGTATATATAACAGACACCCATTCAATAAATATTTCTTGAGATAAATAAAATATGGAACATGAATGGAGACAGACGAGCTTCAGGCAGAGAAAAACACAAAGCAAATATATGTGTGGGATAAGCAGTGCATTGTAAACTATGCTCTATGATTCACTCCACATTCAGTCATGACATGAAAAAGGAAAGGAAGTAGAATATGAATGGATCACCTTCAGTGTGAATGTAACAGACTGAGTCGTCCAAGCCAAAGCTGCGGAGAATTGCTGACAGGATGATGGAGGAAAGATACATAGCCAAGCACCCTTGAGTCCTTATCCTAGAGCAGCTTGGTCAGTGGCTTCAGAAGAACTGAGAGGGAGGGAATTCTCTTCTGGACAGGTGAGTAGGATTGGAGTGAAAATTATTCCTCAGAAAAGATTTGCTGGGTCTGAGTGAATGTAGTGAATGGAAGGAGCCTTTAGCTAAGGGCTGGGAGCTGTGATGGCAACAAAAGAAGACAAAACCAAGATAAAGGAGAATTAAATGCTGCAAAATCCTCATATGGAAACAACAGAGGAATCGCAGGCCCAAAAGAGGCTGCAACTGGCTTGTTTGGCTTACTGCCTAGGGAAATATACATGACTGTGCTTGTTCATCCTGATACCTATTAAGGTGTAGATACACCAGCATTCTTTACATACACACACACAAAGACACCCATATATGTATATGTATAATATATAGCTTTCATATATATTTCAAAATAATATGCTACTTTATGACTTTTCAGAATCCTTACTGTTCTTTTCTTTTAAAAGATAATTTTACATTTTCTTTGTGGTATTTTATTTATCCTTTAGTTGTGCTAGTCTGCATAAGTCTAACGACTTGCCTCTCCAAAGGTATTTTAGGAAATGATTTAAGTCATACTGATTTCTAAGTATTTGGTGGGGAAATCTGTTTTCAAATGATAATGTTAGAATTTTCCCATACAACCTGCAAGGCTATTTGTGGGGTTTTGGGGTAGTTTCAGTCATTAACAAAAGATTGCATTGTTCAATTGATTAACAGTTCTTGTTCCGTATATGTAACCCAGGATTAAATGGGGAAAGTGGCCACACCAAGCTAACAGAGTCCTGACTTAGGTGGTTCTTACTTACTTCCTTGTCCCCATTGGATCCTTTCCTTGCTCCGTCTTCACTGTTGCTCCGTGAGATGAAAAGCAGTCAATGTCATCACTGGTGTGCAGTCAATGATGTCTCATGCCAGGCTGTTACTGACACACTATGGAAAGAGAAGCCACAGCCATGACTCCCTTACCACATATTTAGTTTGGGAAACAATACCAAATTTGTTCTTAAAATGAAACCTTGGGTCCAACACCTATCACAGTATCATTTCGGAATGGAATTTGTTTCATCCTGTCTTTGTACGCCGATATCCAGTTTTTCAAAAGTCAGTTCAAGTCTTTCTTCTTCCTTAAGTGTGCCAATCCAGAAAACATATATCCTGAACATTTACCTCAACATACATGCGAGCACCGTGCACTAAATTACTTCATCTTTAAACAACTGCAAATGGGATTTTTGTATTTCCAAGAGGATATGTTTTAGAGACAACTATGAAAAGTCTCTTTGGTCCTGTCTTGATTTTTTAAAAAGATGCTTTCTTTAAAAAAAGGATTGATTTATTTATTAGGTATGCAGTTTTCTGCCTGTATGTAGGCCTGTAGGTGAAAGGAAGGCTACAGATCTCATGAAGGATGGTTAACTGCTGAGCCACCTCTCCAGTCCCTCCAAAAAGATATTTTCTGAAGGTAGAAATGTTATCTTCTGTATTGATAAATTTATAAACCATGGGTAAAATTTAAGTACTGCACTTGTTGAACGTTTTCAGGATGAGGTCCAGAGGACTTTTGCTTCTCTTTTTCATTTTTTTAAAATTCTAACCCTGGAGATTGAAATGTAGGCCTAGTAACCTGTCAATCTTAGCAAATCTATTTGGAAATCTTTCTAGTTAAGAAATAGTTACTGTAAAATTGTCTAAGTTGGTTCATGTAGTTGTTGTGTTTCAGATATTTTAAAAAACATCTTGAGAAAACGTCTCCTCAAATTTCTTAACTCCAGAGAGACTAGGGATGTGCTGGTGTAAATTTCTTCTGTGTGTCTTTCACCACGCTCTTTTCTTCCTTCCTGCTCCCTCTCCCATCCTTCCTTCCTTAAACATGAATGGACAACTTGTCTATTTTAAGACAGTGCTGAGAATTCAAAGTGGAATAGCCCCAGGCTTCAGCTCTGTAGGCATGGCACACTGGCAGCAGTGTGCTCAGAGGTACACACTGAGACATCACATGGTAAAAGAGTCTTCACTGCTAGAGAAGGCAATCTTTCTGCTTCTTGGTGAAGGCAGCATGTACTTTACAAATGTGGTGTGTTCTGCAGGAGTTGTTGAAACCTGTAGCCAGGTAAGGCTGAACTAATGCCCACATCTCAGTGACAACTTTCAGAAGAACAAAATATCTTTCCTGGTACATTCATGGAGTGTATTCAGCTTTGATCCATTACAATAAATGACTGCAATTAAATGTGTATGATTTATTAATTATATGTTTTCTAATTAATCTAACTCTGTCCATTTCTGTATAGAACATAAGGTTATATATGATTTCATGTATTTATATATCATTACATATACTATAACTTACAAAGAAGATAATGTTATAAATGATAAGTTTAATGAGTTAAATTGTAGATAGAAGGTAGCAATGTTTTGGAGAGTTAAGTAAATTTTTTAAGTAAATGAAACTTCTGGGACAAAACAAGAAAGTTCTATTTTGCCACACACACACACACACACACACACACACACACACACACACATATACACACACATATATATTGCAGTAAATGTCAGAAAAGTACAAGTTGTGTTAGAGTTGCCTTATCTGGTTGTGTACTTGGCCTTTGAAATTGCCTTCTCCCTGGTCTGTGCCATCCCTTATGCAGTGAGCTCAAGGGTATCAGACACAAGTCTGGCTTCTCCTCAGGCATTGCCCTTATGTACTCAGAGTAGACTCACAACTTATAAGTGTTCAATGGCTCTATCAACAAGTGTTCAGTGGCTTCATGAGGTGTCTTTCATGGTGTTCTGAATCACTTAAGACAGTCAGAAAGATTTTTTTTTCTACGAAACTAACCAATGTAAACTCATTTTCTACTTTCCTGTCATATGTGAGTATATGCACTTTTATATTGCTATTAAATTTATAGAATTTCTTTCATTTAAGAGACTCAAGCTAAAGACAAATTGGTTTGAATTTAAGTATTATTTGCTATTAAATATTGCTGAGAGAATGTTTTACTGTTTACCTTGTAAAATATAAAGTTGTCTAAAGACTGATGCTCAATTATATTAATATACATACACACAAAATATGAAATAATGTATAGAGTTTGCATGATTACAGAGGTTAGTCTTTTGTCACAGAGTTTTGTTTTTTGTTTTCCAAAGTATGATACATTGATTTATATATTTTTGCTGTTGAACTGTAGTAAAAAATGTAGAGAACACTTTCAAATTATTCAATTGTAGTTGCGCTTCAGTGCAAAATGAACATCCTTATTAAAAAAATTCAGTGAGGAAGAATATAGGCACAATCTGCTTTCCGTAACTCTTTGTCTGTGGGAGGTATGGATTTATCTGAACCTAATGCTTTTAATGTCTCATCTGGGTGTGAACAAAGCAAAAGATAACACTCCTGCACAACATCATTCTTTCTTGGTGTGGTCACCTTTAATAATAGAAACAACGGATGCCTTTCCCAGTGTGCTCATCAGAACCCTTACAGGAAGCAGGTGTTCGCTCTTATTTTCCTTTGAAATCGTGTACTTATTTATTACATTATGTCTTTCAGTTGTGGATATTTTCCTGTCAAGGGGAAATTCCATCCTTCCTGGAATAATAATCTCCTAAATTTTAAATGAACTTTAAAAGAATCTGCTGAAGTGATAGAAAACACTCTCTTCTGCATAGCTGTATTTTCATTTTATATCTATGTAGGGAGAACTTGACAGTTTGTAGAGTTCTCAAGGGTGCATTTATTATATAAAACTAACCAACTTCATGTTAAAATGACGGTCACATTCTCACAAATGTGCAAATCTATGGTTATTCACTGACAGTATCATCTCCACAGGGAATTATAGTGAAAGAAGAATTTCTAATAATTTGTCCACTTATCCTTTCTCATCTCTTCATTCACGCCAAAATGGTTTGTGTCTCTATTAAAGCCTTTCACTTTTTCCAAGGGCTTCAAAAGCAAAAAGGGCAAGAATAAACCAGTTCTATTTATTTATTTTTGTGACCTATTTGACATCTTTATTTCTATAACTATCATATACAAGTGCTCTTTTGTGTTTTTTAAGTTTTTCGAGACAGAGTTTGCTCTATAGCTTTGGAACCTATCCTGGAACAAGCTCTTGTAGGCCAGGCTGGTCTCGAATTCACAGAGATCCACCTGTCTCTGCCTCCCGAGTACTGGGATTAAAGGCATGCACCACCACTGCCTGGCAGTATATACAAGTACTCTTAAGGGTACAGACTAATCAGTCTTCTGTAGCACAAGGTAAGACAGGCCCTTTCTGTCCCAATTCCCATCCAGTCTTTGCTACTTGCCAGCTTACAGCCTTTAAAAACTCACCATGGTTCCCTCTGCCTGCATTTTAACATCAGAAAAATGACAGTAGTAATGGTATTAGATGGCTTGGTCACCAGGGGTGTTAAATGAGTCGATTTGTGTTCATATTTCTAATTAATGTCTTGTTTTGAATGACCCATACTCAATGTTAGCGTTGTTATTATCACTTTCATTTATCTTTATTTTCAGTTAGTTTAGAGAGTTTTTCTAACCATTCTCTCATTTCCATTTCATTGTATTACTATGTTAAACCTTTGCAATATTTTGTCTATGCTGTTTTAGTAGTCTTTTCAAATTCTTACTTTTGTTGATCTTTAATCAGGAGACATGTCTAATTTGGTATAGAGTATTCCAGAATCTTTGTCTTTGTCAGAAATGGTTCATTCTGTGTGCTTATCATCTCACAGAAAGCTATACAATTAAAAAGAATTAAAAATAATAATGAACAATTAGGTGTATATTTTCATACGGGTTTATATGACTATGTATATGGGGTTTTGCCACTGAGGGATGAAAATTGTCTCCCTTAAAGCAATTAAACCTCATCACGTGATTAGCCATAGAGATAGTTAATCTTGGTTGTCAACTTGACACACCTTGCCAATAAAAGCCTTAGTCTGTATGCCTCTACCAGACTGGCCTGTGGAAATGTCTGTTGAATAGTTTCTTGATTGTTAATTGATGTAGGAGGGCCCAGCCAACTGAGGACAGAGCTATACCTGGGTATGTAATCCTAGGCGTATCAGAAACCTAGCTGAGGAAATCAAAATGGGCAAGCCAATAAGCATCTTTTTATCCCTGCCTCCACTCCTGTTTGAATTGCTGCCCTAATTCTCCTAAATTGGTAGTTCTCAAACTGATCCCTTTGGGTATGAATGACTCTTTCACAAAGGCTGTCTAAAACCATCAGGAAACACAGATATATGCACTAAGATTCATAGAAAAAATGAGAGTTATGAAGTAACAATGAAAATCATTTTATGGTTGGGGCCACCACAATGCAAGGAATTATATTCTAGTGTCCTGCATTAGGAAGTTGAGAACCACTCCTCTAAATGATGGGCTGTTATTGGGATGTGTAAGTCAACTAGACCCTTATCCCAGGTTGGTTTTGGTTAATATGTTCATCATAGCAACAGAAAGCAGAATCGAACAAACATATTGTTTGTACCTCATGCTTTTTTTTAAGTTGTTGAAGTATGTAACAGATTCCAGTTTAAGCCCACAACATAATATATGTAGTAATGTGATTCTATGTCAGGAAGATCATATGTGGGTTTTATTCCCTTGCAGACCCTCCCACTCTTGGGAGTTCTTTCTCACTTTTACTTAATAAATCTATGTTTATTCTGATCAAAAATTGAAGAAAAGAAGCCTATGTGTTTCGTGTGAAATGGTATGCCCGGTTCTTTGTTTCTTTTGCTGTTAAACAAAGTGTTTCTGTGCGAATCTATTCCTTACAAAAACATTGCAGTTTTGAGGGTATATTTTCCTCAGCTACATCTTCTATCAATAGATTGTGAACCTAACCACTGCATTTGTTCTCAATTCACGCTAAGGTATCAAGAACATTTGATGCCATTCTTTGAGCTCAGATGAATTGAAAGCTCTGTATCATGGGTTTGTAAAAATCAGCTTCTGTCTCTACCTAGTTACTAGAAAACTATGGAGCTGTTGCTGTGCTGACAGTGGGTGCTGTATCACATGATGAAGATCCCCTAATAAGTTGGTTGTCCCATTTACACATCATTGTCATTGTTTGCTCCTACATGGATGCTGGCGGAACCCAGTGTAAACAACTTGTCTTCTCCTGACTGTGGTGAGAACTGACTTTGTAGTCTGTCTATGCTTATCTTAACCTTATGAAGCCATTACATCATTCTTTTCTCATGCCCTATCTCATATGTCCCTTGAAATATTATATACTTTCAGACTTCTGCTAAAACAGCATCCCGACTATGAAATCACCCTGATTCTATCCACCCCTCCCCTCTTCATAAGTCACAAAGTTTATTATTATTATTATTATTATTATTATTATTTCATATATGTTTTATGTATCTTGTGTAGCACTTACATTCTGCTTCAATTTTGGATCTTTGTGAACATGTTTTATTTCAGCGTACATTATCTTTTTGAGTGAAAGATTGCATTTGCTCACCAGCTATAAATACATTGGAGTTTAATCTTACATACGCTTTGTTTTAAAGTCAATATTTAAAGTTAAAATTACACACTGCCAAAAATGTCCTGAAAGGATCTTAAGGCAAGAGAGAGCAGGTATTTTGCATTATTTATGCTCCACCCTGGGGATTGATATTTAGTCTCTCAAGAGAGTGCACTTGAAGTTTGCTTTCTGTACTACATCAACTCGCTTTCTTCACTTTAGCCACAGATGAAGTAACTGGCTTGCCGTGAGAGGCTGCGTTGTATGAAATGATCCACGTGTCATTAAACACGAAAATCAAATGCAGCTTGGGGGGATGCTCAGACTATGAGAACTGAGAATGAATAAGAATACTTTATTTTTTAAAAAAAATCTTAATGTTCCGTGATCCAGAGGCCCGCTTTCTATCAGTGGGTGGACTGCTTATCTGTCATGGCTGAGGCTTTTGCTTGATCACCAGAGAAGAGAATTTCTCTCAAATTCTGTCTAGCCACTTAGTGACCAAGAAATGTGGTTTTTCAAGTTCTACAAGATTTCAGACAAACATATAGATTGATACGCACAGGCATAGATGGAAGTGTGAGCTGAAAAATAAATAACT